TCTCTGTGCTAAGGATCATTATACAGTGTAAATTTAAGGTCTTTTTAGGTCTTTTCTGAGTCTGTGACTTACCCTGAGCAAATACAATGACTTTTTAATTTTCTCCAAATATATGGTTGCTTTTGAATCTGCTAGTCTTTAATGTGTACGTCTCAAAAGGAGAAAATAGAAAAATGAAGGGAGAAAAGGCTGCCAGCCCTTTAAGTCTCCTGGAAGTCACTTCAACCAGAGGGAGAAGGGCTTGCAATGATGGGGGCAGTTGCAACAACAATGTCTGTGTGAACAGATTTTGAAAGGTCTACATTATACAAGATATCTTTTCAGACCACAAGGGAGTAAGGTTGAAAATCAGTAACAAGAACATTTTAAAAATCACAAATTTGTGGAAATTAAATACTTTGTTAAATAATCAAGGATCAAAGAAGAAATCATAAGGGAAATTATAAAATACTTAGAGATGAATGATAATGAAAACATAAATTTAAAAACCTGTGGGACAGTGAAAGCAGTGCAAAGGGGGAAACTCCTGACTATACATGCTTACATTAAAAAAGAAAGATCTCAAACAGGAACTTAACTTTACAATGTAAGGAACTAGAAAAAGAACAAATGAAACCCCAAGCTAGCAGAAAGAAGGCAACAATAAAGATCATACCAAAGATAAACAAAACAGAAAATAGACAAATAATAGAGAAAATAAAATACAACGAAAGTTGGCTCTTTGAAAAGATCAGCAGAATTCACCAGCCTTTAGCTGGATGGACTGAAAAAAAAGAAGAAAATCAAATTACCAAAATTATAAGTGAAAGTGGCAACACTGCTACCAATTCCACAGAAATAAAAAATATTATAAGACTGTACTATGAGCAACTATATGACAACAATTTGAATAACACAGATAAAATGGAAAAATTTCCAGAAACACAAAACCTATCAAGACAAAATCATGAAGAAATAGAAAATCTGAATAGACTTATAACTAGCAAGGAGATTGAATCAATAATCAAAAATCTCCTGATAAAGAACCTCTGGACCTGATGGCTGCACTGGTGAATTCTAAGAAACACATAAAGAACTAATACCAAACCCTCTCAAATTTTTTCAAAAAACTTGAAGAGAAGGGAACACTATTTAACACTATTTAACTCTGATACCAAAGCCAGACAAAGTTATTGCAAGAGAAGAAAACTACAATTCCTTATGAAAATTGATGCAACAATTCTAAAGAAAATACTATTAATAGTAAACTAAATTCAGTATCATTTGATACAATTAAATGGAATTTAATGAATTGACCAAGTGGGATTTATTTCTGGAATGCAAGGATAGTTCAACATACAAAAAAATCAATCAATGTAATACACATTAGCAGAATGAAGGAGGAAAAAAAACCTCTCACATGATCATTGCAGTTGATGCAGAGAAAGCATATGACAAAATTTACTAGCTTTTCATGACAAAAACATTCAACAAGTTAGGAACAGAAGGAAACTATCTCACATAATAAAAGGCATATTATATGAAAAAGTCACAGTGAACATCATACTCAGTGGTGAAAGACTGAAAGATTTTCCTCTAAGGTTAGAAATAAAGAAAGGATGCCTGATTTCACTACTTCTGTTAACACTGTACTGGAAGTTCTAGCCAGAGCAATTGGGCAAGAAAAAGAAATAAAAGGCATTCAAATTGGAAAGAAAGAAGTAAATTGTCTCTGTTCACTGATGATTTGACCTTATATGTAGAAAACCCTAAGAATTCCACAAAAACTGTTATAACTAATAAACAAATTCAGCAAAACAGCAGAATACATAGTCAACACATAAAAATCAGTTGTATTTCTATTTGCTAACAATGAACAATCCAAAGGAAATTAAGACAATTCTATTTACTATAGTATCAAAAAGAATAAAATACTTAAAAATTGACTTAGGAGGTGAAAGACCTGTATGATGAAAACTACAAAATATTTCTGAAAAAAATTGAGGAAGACATTAAAAAAGACATCCTTGTTCATAGATTGAAAAACTTAACATTATTAAGATGTCAATATCACCCAAATTCCAAATATGGAATCTTAAGGGACCCCGAATAGTCAAAACAAACAAACAAACAACAACAACAACAAAAAAACAACAAAAATCCTTAAAGAAAAGAACAAAGCTGGAGGACTCACATCTCCTAATTTCAAAACTTACTACAAAGCTGCAGTCATCAACAGTGAGACACTGGCATAAAGACAGACATACAGACCAAGGGAATAAAATGGAGAGCCACGAAAGAAACCCTTGGACATGTGACTTTCAACCAGGCTGCCAAGACCATTAATAAACACAGTCTTTTCAACAAATGGTGCTGAGAAAACTAGATATCCACATGCAAAAGAATGAAGTTAGACCCTTACCTGATACCATACATAAAAATTAACTCAAAATGGATCCATGCCCCAGATCTTTAGTTTTTAAGACCTAAAACTTTAAAACCCTTAGAAGAAAACATGTGGCAACACCCTCATGACATTGGTTTGAGTGATGATTTCTTGGGTATGATGATAAGGGCACAGGCAACAAAAGAAAAAATAGATAAACTGGATTACACCAACATTTAAAAACATTTTTTGCATCTATCTAGTGAAAGGACACCATCAACAGAGTTAAAAGACAACCCAGAGAATGAGAGAAAATATCTGTAAGTTGTGCATCTAATAAGAGATTGATATCCGGAATATATAAAGAGCTCCTAAAATTCAACAACAACAAAAACAATCGACCTGATTCAAAGATGGGTCAAGGACTTAAACAGGTATTTCTCCCAAGAGATATATAAATGGCCGATAAGCACATGAAAAGATGCTCAGTGTCACTAATCATGAGGGAAATGCAAGTCAAAACCTCAATGAGGTACCACCTCACACCCATTGGGATGGTTAACATTAAAACAAAACAAACAAAACAAAAAACCCCAGAAAATGACACCTGTTGGTGCGGACGTGCAGAAACTGGACCTGGGTGCCCTGCTGGTGGGAAACCAAAACGTGCAGCCACTGTGGGAAACAGTGAGGCAATTCCTCAAAAATATTAAAAAATCGAATGATCTGCAATTCCACTTCTGGGTACACACTCAAAAGAACCAAAAGTAGGATCTGGAAGAAGAATCGGTATGTCTGTCTTCACAGCTGCGTCATTCATGGTAGCAACCCACGAGTCCAGGGACAGACGAATATGGATAAACACAATAGGTACACCCATGCAGTAGAATATTATGCAGCCTTAAAAAGGAAGGACATGATAACATATGTTACAGCATGGACGAATCTGGAGGACATTAAGCCAAGTGAAATAAGCCAGTGACAAAAGGAGAAATTTCATACTTTTTCACTCCTATGAGTCACCTAAGTGGCCAAATTCATGGAAACAGAGAGTGGCATGGTGGCTGCCAGGGGCTGCGGGAAGGGGCGACGGGAGTTGATGCTCCATGGGCTTCAGTTTGACAAGAACACCCATTAGGAATATGAGGAAATTGACACTAACACGGTCAGTGATTAAATAGCCCAAATAACCTTGTGCTGCACAAAAACCAAAGACGTGCAGAACAAACCCCAACAAGGCATCATTCCTCATCTATGAAATGAGAGAGAAAAAACTGCTCCTATCCATTGTGGGACGGGTTCCTCGCCACTTCTGGGGTGCGCCTCTGGAGGTTTCCGCCCTCTGGACCCAGACGCCGCCCTCCTAAGAGCTGGCACCCTGGGAGCTGGACTCCTGCGGCCCTGCCCTTTGCAGCTTCCACTGCAGGCCTGGCTGGGGTTCGGATCCTGGGCGGCCCGGGCAGCCCCGTCCAGCGAGTGCCCCGAGGGCTGGGCAGGGTCTTCCATGGGCAGCGCCGGGACCCCTGTTGTTGAGGGGGTCCCGCATCAGGCCCCGACTTTGCATAGAGTGAAAGGCCGCAGGAGGCAGCAAGTCAGCGTGCAGGGCCGTGTTTAAACCAAAGCATCTCACTGGACACTTTCTTTCCTCCTTCCTTCCTTCCTTTTTTTTA